CTCCCTAAGCTCTGACCCTGTGGAAAGGGCACGGCACGACTGCCGTTGCTTATTTTGGCATCGGGCAAAATACACATTTTGGCATCGAGCGACACAAAGATGAGCAGTAGTTCGGTCTGCCCACAAGTGGAACTGTGTCGATTAGCGCCAAAGGAAAGGCTGTTCTTGTGAGTGGCGGAGGCTGCTTGAAATTCACCTTTACGGCCGGCAGAGAATAAAGAGCGAGCAGAAGGAGCAGCCTCGGCCCGAAACCTGCGACCACGCGGGGGCATCGCCTGTGTCTCTTGTGGGCGCTGTCCTTGACTCCGGTCATAGGTGCCTTGGCTCGATGCCGGTTTTGTAGGCCGCATCCTACTTGAAAGAGCTTGGACTGGGCTGAGGAAAGTAATTGCTGCTATGAAATAATTTTGTAATTACCTCTGTAATTAAGGGCAGTCTGTTTATGAAAGTGCTTGGTGAATAATGACTGTAGGGCTCTCCATCTTGCGGTTTCCTGCAGAGTGATTGGCTTGTGTGTTGGGAGTGGCTGGGGAGTTAGTGGCACAGCTGTCACCGGATGCAGATCTGGGGGGCTGGTTCTGATGGAGAGCCGCCATTAGCTTCCTCCCCTGCGGGACTGGCCAGAGAAGCAAGCATAGCACGCAACCGCGGGAGCTGGTGCGTGTGGCTCTCGAACCAAACACGTAACGAGTCCACGCCAAGCCAGGCCCTGATCTGGGAGGTTCACAGGCGCATTTTCATCTTTGCTTCTGCTTGATCTGACCCAAAGGTTCCTTATTACCGTGAGCCATGAAGCCACGCCAAAATACGTCTGCTGCTTTAGCTTTGTGTGCAAAAGCGTAAGGAAGCCGTGGCGGATCTGCCAGACAATTTTGAATAATTCTGGCTTTAAAACAACATAGACACCCATCTACAAGTGGCAGAACCACGAGTTTTTGATGTGTAAAGAGAAGGGTAGGACAAATTCAAGTAAACACAGGTAAATAGAGCAACAGGCAAATTGCACTAGATAAAGGACATCAGCAGCTGAAGAGTTGGAATTGTATTCTCTTATTTTTCTAACTATTCTGGCTTTAGAAAATAGGAACTGGTACTAGTATGTTGGAAAAAGGATGAGCATCTAAGATGGGCAAAACAAGTATTTAAATTTTGAATGCTGAGAGATTATAGCTAATAATGTGTCTTGGCTGAGCTGTGCCCATTAGAAGGCAATATCACATAGATTTCTAATTTTATATCTGTCTCCTTCTTCAGCTTTATAAAAGAGGCTTTTTTCTTGATCATGCCTTTCACATTATTAACTGCTTATTTTTCCCAGAAAAAAATCCATGTTGTTCAGTAGAAAAATCGGCTTACTATTTTTTTTTCTTTTTCATTTTCAGGTAAGAAATATGGACACTTAGCACATTTTCGATTCTACCCTCAAGCTTTTTCGCCTATCGGACAGTGGTAGTCAGTGAGAATTCTGCCATTCAAAGGAGTATAGATCGCATTTGACAAGCTGCCGATAAGTTTTGTTAACCTGTGTTCAAGTTTAAAGCCGACTTAAATGGTTGGTGACTTCAGGCGTTTTAATGTTTCCCCGGGGCGGTAAGAGTGTTTTGCAAAGATTACGAAATGCTAAAGGGATTCCTAGGAAGTAACCCTTAACCCGCAGAGCCGAGCCTTAGTACCGCACCTGTGAGCACCTGCCCAGGTTGTGCCAAACACTGTGCTCTAACGGCTCTTTGTAGCACTTCATCTCAACGTACCTCTTTGACCTGTTGGCAATATGGCAGCAGGATGCCAGTCAGTAATTTCCATTTCCTGCATTTTGGGGTGGCTTCTGAATGTGGTCTGGGCTGGCCTTGGAGGCAGGGAGCAACCGCACTCTTAGATGCCAAGCTTTGGCACGAGGTGGGTGTGCTAGCCCGGACCCCTAAATGCATCGTGTGGTCCCCCAGGCCAACTTGAGTTGGGCACCTCCATTTTTTGTCGTTGAGATGTCTGCTTAAGACTTACCTCTGTATGAAGCCTCCCCTTGAGTTGGGACCCAGTTAGTATAATTACGGTTTTGTTATTGATCACTGATTGGCTCGTTATATTTTACTGTTATACTATTATTTTGCTAACCTCCTAGATAATTTTATTGGAGAGTGGTATACAATTGACATGCAATCAATACAAATATAAAGATTTTGGTCAGAGACCCTGTAACTGTTGCTTTGGATCTGTCTCCCAACTGTGATGAGCACTTGCGTAGATGACTTGTGTCAAACTGTACCACAACATAAGTAGCCTCTATATTTTGGCGCTTGTGTTTGGTTATATGTATCTCACCCTCATTCAGGATGGAGCTTTTGCTGGAGCATCCCAAGCTCTTTCTGGAGGAGGGGAACATGGTGGAAGTAACTGTGGTGCTGGATGAGAACCTTCCTTGGCCATTGTTAAATGCGTTTCCCCAGCGTGTAAGCGCTGCACCCCCGGGTGGGCAGCTGGAGAGAAGCTCCGTTTGCAGGAGGAGGATGCTGACCCCACACCTTCCCCTTCTGCTGGTTGGGGGTGGGATTTAAAGACAAATGCAAAAACCTAGAGGGGAAAAACAGACACACCATGCTGCCAATAATGGAAAAGGACAGCACAAGAGGACAGATAATTGAGCTGTTCTGTTTTTCCTTTCCTTTCCTTTCCTTTCCTTTCCTTTCCTTTCCTTTCCTTTCCTTTCCTTTCCTTTCCTTTCCTTTCCTTTCCGAATGGAAACAGTTTTAACCCCAGGGAAACACACTAGACTGTTGGTGCAAGAACACGCAGGCCTGTGCTCAAGGGCCAAGCAGATCGGTGGCCACGGGCCAGCACTATAAATGGCAGCTTCCAGGTTTTTGGTTCATCCAGTTGCCATTCATATTTCTTCTGCTTCTCCATCTCTGTATTTTGCTTTACTGAAGTATGCAAAGCAAGGGGCCCTATTTGGGGTGAGGAAGGGGGAGAAAGTCGCACCAAACATAATCTCAGTCGTCTTCGGCTCCTTCGGACCGCTTTTCAGACAACGTGGTGAGTTCGTCTGAAATTCGAGTAAGTCTTCTTGTACTCCCTTGGCTTTTCCTTTGCTTTAATCCATTTGCCAAACCAATCGAACCCGTTTGATTTGCTGGGGTGCTTACATGAGCACAGTGGATTTCTTGGAATGACGGCGGTGTTCTGGCAGAAAGATGCTTTGGGCAGGAAAGTGAGGAAGCGAGAGGTCTTTGCCGTGAGTGCCATTTTCCGAGTGTTTGGATGTCAGACTCTCGCTGAAACAAAACTGCCAGAGGCACTTGAGGCAGGAGACGACTCGCTTCTGTTCCAGGGGTTTATAGATGGCAGCGCTGAAGACTGACTGGGACTTGTCTCCATGCCATTCACTCTGTCGAGCTATCACTAATTAAAGGCATTATTTTCCTCGCTTCCTGTCACCTTCTTTCTGATTGTGCCTTGTTATAAAACACATTTGGTGCCTTCCTGGACCCCTCTGGACCGGAGAGCGCTGGATGCAGCTTCCTCCTCTTACTCTGGGGAAGATCAGTGCTTAGTGAAGAGGCAGCGAATGGATTCTGGTGTCGCGAAGGAAGCCTTGGACATTGGCACGCGCCGAACTGATTTGAGACACAGGCTTGTCCTGCAGCTGCTCGGCGAACGATGTCTAAACTGGGGTACTCAGTCAGCTTGGGGAGGAGGAGAACAGCTTTCCAGGTCAGGGGCGTTTTATTTTTCCTCGCCGTATACGCTTTTTCGCATCGACTGAGCAAAGGTCTCCCCTTTGTGGCTGCTTTACTAGGGCCTTTCTGGGCATTCAGAGCACGTTCCGATGCTATCTGTCAAAACAGGCTTGGTTTTATGGAGTGTTTGTCTATGAAATGAATCTACTCCTTACTCTTCCTCCCCATGCGCCCCCCCCCTCGCAGTGCCTGGTGTTCCATAAACCGACGACTTAATCCTGCTCCAAATGAACTTTGCAGAAACAGCATCCGAGGTGAACGGAATGCAGATGGGGGCTTTAGCAGCCGCTTCCTAATTCGGCATCCCTGCCGCCTCGCAACGCACCATCCCTGCGTAAGCCTCGTGTTTGAATAGCAACATCTTTTTAATTCCCTCTAATAAGGGCTCGGCTAGGAGTGAAGGGGCTGTTCATGGAAAGAGCAAGAAAGGGTTTCTTTTGCAGATTATGTTGCCGCTGCAGGGGGGAAATAAGCGCATGTTAATAATGCAGCATTTCCACCTGATCATGTAAATGCAATTCAGGGCTGAATACAGAGACAATGAATCCTTCATGTTTGATTTGGGTGGCTAGCGAAGGGGCTGGCTGGACTTTCCGGGGGCTTTTAAAGTGCCCTTCCTTCTCCCCCTCCCTCGGAGGGCTTTCTTGCATGCCTTACTCAGAGGGGGCAACTTTGCCCAGGTGGACTTCTGTTGGTCCCGGGCGGATGCGGCTCTCGAACCAGCGCAGAGTCTGGTCAGCTCTGGTTCTGGGCTGGGAGAGCGGCAGGAAAAAAAATCAAATCGAAATGGGTAATTAAAAATACAGACGTTAAAAAACTAACACAAATTAATTAAATATGTATGCCCACATTATCTGTCACTTCCGCATAAATATGTTAATTAGCTGAAATGTTAAAAGCAAACAGAGGGGTTCACACTAATACTAGAAATTCGTTTACAGCATTGGGACGGCTAAGGGCAAGTTGTCAACAAAAATAAACCAGCAGAATTACACAGAGAAAATGGAAATTGTGCCATTAAATCTATTCAGTAAAGCAAATAGCATGCCACATCCTAATTTCTATTATAATAAAACTCTCGAAATGTCCTCGAATGCAGCACATCACTTAATACTTATTGTGGCTGCAGCTCGCTTGCACTGAGCATTCTGCGCGCGTTCCGTGGCACGCTTAGCTTTGTCCCTGTGCGTTTGGGGGTTCTGCTGCCCCTAACACTGGGAGGAGCCGCTTCTGCATGACTCATTCCACAGGCAGGTCCACGGGAGAATGGCGGAAGCTGCAGAAGCTGCTCGTGCGGAGGGCACCGGCTCGGAGGAGGCCGCCTGCGACGGTGAGTGCAAACTGATGCCCGAGCCCAGCAGCGTCCCCGAGTGGACCCTCCAAGGCGGGGCAGAGCGGGGGAGCCGTGCTTATGCAAGCGCACGAGGGTGTTTGTCCTGTCCAGGACTTAGACTGGTGGGGGATTTAAAGAGGAGTGCCAGTGCTTCGCGTGCACCGGGGAATGTTCTGGTGACCTTTACAGTTTCTTAAGAAGCGGCGTTCCCCCCATCTTGCCGGCTTTCTGTCAATAACCTTGCCACGGCCGTTTGGAGAGCTCCTGTTGTCTGAACGGATTTCAAGAGCACCGCAGAGATTCCTCCAGCGAATGGACAGAATTCTACCCACTCTTGCACCAAGAGAAAGCAGCTCTCCAGGGTTTCGGACCTGTTTGAATCCCTCCAGGCCAGAAGGATGGGCGTCAAATGGCAAATGTGCCTCAGATGTCTGTCAGGGCAAAACACGCCGACTTCAAGGGATCTGAGCTGGCAGTGACTGACCAAGAAGGGGGCCTTGGGGTGCCTGCCTGGGGTGCAGTTGCCCCGAAAAGGGCAAATTCTATCAGGCACAGTAAAGGAACTGAAAGTGAAACAGCCAATACTTACACGAATGTGTGGTGAGGCTACTTGCAGTCCTGCGTGAGGCTCTGGCATCGAAGGAAGGGAATGTCGAGGGCCGGTCCAGGGATCAGGCGACTCTTTTGGGGCAGACTGCCCCGCACAGCAGCTGGGCTCCTTTCTCAGGACACAGGAGAGCTGGGAGAACCGCCGGAGTGCGGGCCCAAATGATCCGAGGCTGGACTAACTTCCCCCTGAGGACCGGCTGCAATATATGGGACTGTTCAGCTTAAAAGCAGGCAAGGAGGGGAGGCCGCGCAGAAGTGGGGAAAGGAGAGGTTCTCCCCTTCCTTCCGTAATGCTGGAATCCGGATGATGCCGTGGAGTTGATCATCGGGCGAGTCAGGACCGGTTCAAGGAAGGATGTCTTCACACAGCTTGCACGCAAATGACGGACTTCATTTCCACAAGATGTAGGGTTGGCTGCCACTCCAGGTGGCTTCTAAAGGGGACTGGATAAGTTCACAGAAGATTAGGCTCTCCCAGGTCACTAGTCCTTATGGTGCTATGCTGCCACCAGGAGTTTGACTTTGTACACCAGTTGCTGGGGAAGGTGGGGCAGGGGACTGTTGCCTGCGGATTCCCTGCGGGCAACTGGTCAGTCACTGTGTGAGTAGAATGCCAGGCTAGGGGATACCTGGGCCTGATCCAGGACACCCCCTCTGATCTTTCTTACACAGATCAGCTTGCCCGTCCCCAAAGCAACAGGAGTTCTCGGCTGGTTTCTTTCCCCTGGCTTTTTTCTTAAGTGTGTGATGGGCGCCTCTTCCCCTTACCCCAGATGAGCAGAATCTCAAGATTTTATGGATTCCGTAGTGGCCATTTAACCCTTTGTTTGTAAGCCAGAGCCATTTTGGTTAAAAATAATGTGCTCAACCTGCTTTAGGAAGGGGTGGGAAGTTCCCGAATGCCAAAAAATGTTGCTGCATTGGAACTTAAACCCAGTGCCATTGTGGCAAGAAAGGAGTTTTCAGCTGCTGGAACGATTATCCTAAAACCAAGTCTGAACTCAAAGAGGGAGCGACAAGCGACTTCTGCGTGGAGACCGAGGAAGCAAAACGAGAGAGAGAGAGGCCATGTTTGGATGCAGCGACAAGCCCCATTTCTGCAGAGTCCCGAGTTAACCCTTTCCAGTGGGGCAGGCAGCCTGATGGCCTTTCTTTGGCTCCTCTTGCAAATGAGGGTGGCTGGACAACCTGCAGGCCCCCAGCCCTGGCTTCCTTATTGGGACACCAGAACAAAAAGTCCCCAAACAAGCCGGAGCGTAAGCCACCGTTGGTTGGGATGATGAAGCCGCGCGCAGGAGGACTTCACAGTATCCCCAGACGCCTTCACTTCACTGGCAGCCTCTTTGGGTTGGGGCTCCACTCCTGAACGGGTTTGTCTCCTCAGCAAAGCAGGAGAGAGGCCAGGAAGGCAGCCGTGGCAACTGCACTCGCCAGTGTGTTGCAAGCACCTGAGATAAGAGCTTTTCCATTGGGCTGCGTGTCTACTTTTGTTTGTGTTTGTTTTTCTCTGTTGGGTATCAAAGTGGTTGAGACATGGTGTCTGAAAGTCTTTTTATGTACGCAACAAACAGGTTGGTGGTAGCAAATGACGTCTACTTTCCTTCTGTGTGTGCACAAATCAATAGGAGCAGAGAGAACGCAGAGTGTGTTGAAATGAGTTTGATTGTCTCACTTAATATATACTCTTTAAGCCTTTCTAATGCAACAGCATGATGCTAACTTCCTTTGACATTCTAACTGTGCATTACTCACTACATCAATCGATCATAGCTCTGCCCTGCATGGAGTATTGATGGACAACTTAAATACTTCTCATTTTTTTTTCAAGTGAAGCATGGGTAATTAAGCAATGCACTCTGCAAGTTGGAGGCTGTGTGTCTTTCATAAAGAACCAATAATGAATAAAAAGTGCATTAACCAAATTAAACTCTTGCATGCCTCCAGCTCCCTAACGATGGGCTCGGCTTTTATGAATTTCATTACAGGGGAGTTGGGTTCTGTTAATCAAAGGTTCCAGTTGGAACTGTCCGTGGATTTCAGCAGCTGCTGCTGCTCCAGCTGAAGTTCTTTGCTGGAGAGGATATAAATATTTGGAAGGCTGATTGAGGCGCTCAAGCCATGCCTGGTCTTGGCCTTTGACGTGACCATGAAGAAATCCGATGAACCTGCAGTTGCAGGCACAGAGGGCCTTTTCGTGTGCCCGCCACCACAAAAGGAAACAGGAGAGCACTATCTAGGTTCCAGAACTTCAGCACAAGCCTAGTTCACTGCTTTGATTTCACCCCTACCCTTCCTCAAGTCCTGCATGTCATGGCATACATAGGTAACTTCAGCAAACATGCTAGAATGCACAGCTTCTGGGAACAGAAAAATAAATTTCTTTCCAGATCCCAGCTCACTTCATGTAGTTTTATATGCACTTGTCTGTAAAAAGCCAGTCCGAGTGGCAACAAGGAGTGGTGCGTTTTGGTGGGCCGGTGTATGCAGCAGGGCAGCAAGCCCTGGGCTGTTGTGCAGAATCATGCAAACTCAGCACGATGGAGCTGGAAGGGGTTGTGACCTCTCCCCAGTTTGAGAAGCCGCCGTTGCTGAGCACGCTTCAAGCCCGATTCCGTTGCCAACTGTGGGTCCACCTGATCTGTGTTCCACCCAGCCCGCCTTTAGCTAGTTTGCTGATCAGGAGACCATGGGGCACCTTGTCAAAGGCATTGCTAAAGTCAAGATAGATTATGTCTACAGCATCCCCACAGTCCCTCAGGGAGGCTACCTGGTCAAGAAACGAAATCAGATTAGTCTGACAAGATTTGTTTTTGAAAAATCCATGTTGGCTTCTAGTCGTCACGGCATTGCTTTCAGTGTTTGCAGACCGACTGCTTTATAATTTGCTCCAGAATGTTCCCAGGGATTGATGTCAGACTGACTGGTCTTTAGTCCCCAGGTTCTTCTGGGGAGGCAAATACGCTCTGCAGCGTTCTGAAACTTAGTCAGTGTCCCACTTAGATGGCAGCTTTGAACGACGACAGAGTCCTTGGCTGGCCTTTCTGCCAGGGTACATCCATTGACCAAAGGGCCCTCTCTGTAACTCAGAATTATGCCGCCTTGGCTGGGGAGGGGAAAATGCACAAGGGCACCCCAGAGTTACCCTCTCCTCCATTCCGGGTCCTCCCCCCTTTGCCGCCTGTGCTTCCGGGCGGCCTCCATCCTGATCACGGCTCCCACGCACTGCTCCTTTGGAGGAAGAAATTGGCATGACTCCGTTCCGCGGGGCCCCTTTGGTGGAAGCACTGTGAACCTCTGCCAGCGCCAAGGCAGGCCGTATCTTTGCCCAATAGTGAGCACTTCTGTGGAAGAAACTCACTGTAGAATTAGCGTTTACATTGCGTGGTTCAATCAAAGCATTTTGATCCTTGTTTCTGCAAGATAATCCTAAGAAGTTCTTACTTTGAGAATAGAAGACCATGATGGATTTAATTCATAAAGGGAAGCAGCCGCAAGGAATGTAAATGTAAAAGTCTGATAAGGTAGGATTTCCTAGTTGCTATGGTAACCCATGGGTCATGAGCCTGAGAAAATGAAGTGAGTCCTGAAGCAGGGAAGATGATTATAAAATTTAACTGTCATTCTTCATTTAGAGTTGATGGCAAACATTATTTACTTAAGTTTATCTCCTGGCAGGCACAGATCCTTTTCTTTGCTTCAAATTGGGATGTGGATCGCTGAGTTGGACATGTTTGACATTAGGTGAACCCTGTATTTATTATTCTAACCAGGCAATTTGTACATAATATCCCTGCAGATTTGGTCACTATTCTAAAGAAGCCAACAGCTTCATCTTCCAAATCCAACGTGAAAGCTTTTGTAATGTGCCTCGGCGCTGCATAATGGCGGCATCCCACCCATCGCAGGGGGAGTGGGAGGCGAGGGGCTGGGAGCGGCGTCCGCGAGGCCATTTTGCGGCAGCTGCTGGTCCTTGCCAGAGTCTGCGAGTTTTATGCGAGCAGAAAGAGGAGATGTTCTCATCGGATTATTTGTGCATGGCACATGATAGGCTGGGCTTGTGTGGCATTTGGCTTCTGTTCCCCGAGAAGGCACAGTTGGGGGCAGCAAGCTCAAGCTCGTATCTCTCTGAACTTAAAATTAGTGAACGTAAAGATCATATTCCAGCACTGCAGACAAAGGCATCGGGTTTCAGGATCTCTGTGGTGTGTACGTCGTGCTATGTAATGGACTCTACTGATCAGCTGGATTTTAGCAGCCCTTCTGGAATTTAAGACTGCAAGACCTAGATCCCAATCCCCTTTCTGGGAGCTCAGATAGCGGTGGCCGTTGGCACCTCTGTGTGATGGCTTGCGTCTCAAAGAAAAGTGTGCAGTTGTTTCCTTCTCAGACAACATTTGCCACTGCAGCATTATAACATTTGCAATATTTGCAATATTTATAACATTTGCAGTTGCAACACGCTGGTTGTGGCAACAACATTTCTGCAGCACAAAATGTTGCGAGGCTGCTCTTTTGCGAGGAGTCTTCCTGAGCAGTTTCTCATTTAAAATGTTTTTTTCTGGTTATACCAAGACTTTTCACTCATTTACCTGCAGCAAAAGTAAGTGAGAAAAGATTTTAAATTAACTACTATAGTATCTTGTGAACATTTGCAAAGTGGGTCGCTACATGCCCTCCATGGCTTCCCATTGCCCCCCCGTCAAACAACAACAACCACACCCACAACTACAACAATTTAGCAGCTACAGTGCTGAAAACAGGATGGTGGACTTTAGCTTGGAAATGAGCTCACTCAAGCATTGGAAAGCTCTGTAGTGCCATGGAGTGGTTTGCCCCCAAATTTTGTTGATAAGCTATTAATCCCCCCCCACACACACACACTTCCCGTTCCCTCACAGGCTGTTGGCCACACGGCCAATCCAGGGGGCAGAAATGGCCCCTAGACCTTTGCACATGGCCCATCCTGCCCTGGGATTAGAGGACAATGAAAA